CTCTCTCTCTCTCTCTCTCTCTCTCTCTCTCTCTCTCTCTCTCAAATAAATAAATAAAAATTAAAAAAAAAATAAAATGGCAATACAGGGAATGGGGACACAGCTCAGCAGCACAGCACCTGCCCGGTAGGCACTAGGTCTTGAATTTGATTCCTGATGCCAAAATAAAATATAAAATGATGATATAGAAGAGTGTCAGTATAATATTTGTGAATAGGTTATTGGGTTTACCATAGTCTATAGAGTGGGCAAAGGAAGCTATGATATAATATATTCAGTATTGATTCATATTTTAAAAACATGGATCAGTAGGAACGTACATGGGAAATACTGCCAGAGGCTATTCCTGGATAGTTGGATTACAAGTTTGTTTGTTTTTCTCCCTCATTTTGTGGTTTGGCTTGGTTTTTTGAGGCAGGGTCTCCATATAGCCTCAGACTTATCATGATCCTCCTGCCTCTGCCTCCCAAGTGCTGCGATTGCAAGCATGGGCCACCATATCCAGTTTGTCAATTTTAACAATGAAGACGAGTACATTTTACAACTAGGGAGCAAACTGGTTTTTGAAACTCAGATTGTTCAGGAGCAACAGCACTTGGTCTGTTTGACCTCTTTTCCTCCCTAAAAATGAGGCAGACAAAGCCCTTCCAGAGCCCGGGAGGGAAGGAGGAGGCCCGGCCATCTAAGCTCCAGGAACCCAAGCAGGACGCGATTGGGTGGAAGGCCACTGCTGCCTCCCATTCCACACAGCGCCCCCTGCAAAGGCTGCAGGGCTTCCTTCCACAGTGTGTGATGAAAGGCTCTAGGCCCTGGGGTGGAGGCTCGGGATCGCCCACTCCAGGGCACCCCTCGGTCCATGACCCCCTCGGGAAGGGCTGAGGACACACTCACTCACTCTTTCTCTGCCACACCCAGGAATTTTTCTATGACATCAAACACAGTGACCTAGCAAAGAAGTCCCTGGACATCTCCGTCTGGGACTACGACATCGGCAAGTCCAATGATTACATCGGTGAGTGTTCCTAGCCCCAGAGGAAACCCCTCCGAACCTCCCAGGCAGAGGAAGCCTCACAGGGCCACAGAGGGTCAGGTTCAGCCCCGCTCTTTCTGCAACCTCGCAGTCCAAGCCCTGAGTTGGAACCCATGACCCTGATTCAGGTCACTTTCAGCGTGACCTTTGGGTGACCTGGCTCACCCAACTGGCTAATCCGCTGACCTCAGAGCCTGCATAGAAGGACTCAGCCATAGCACAGAGGGCTGTGGGGTCTCTGCAGTGAAGCGGCACAAAGAAATTCCCCTTAATCTGTGTGCAAGCCCAGGATGAAGGGTTGTATTTGCCTGGCCTCCTTCCAAAGGAGAAGGAAGAAGGGCCAGCCAGATATCTCAGCAGATTAAAGCACCTGTTTAGGCAGACGCAGGGGTTGGGGATTCAGTCCCCAGCCTGCCATGCCAGGCCCACCCCCCAGGGCACTCTAAGATGGGGATTGAGACTGGGTGTGGTGGCATGCACCTGTAATCCCAGCTCGTGGGAGGCTGAAAAACAGGAGGATCGCTATGAGTTGGATCTGGGTAGTGAAACCCTGAAGGCCCTGTACTAGATACATTAAATAACTAAATAAATGAAAAGAAGGAAGAGAGGTGATTCAAAACAGAGCAGGGAGGAAACTCTGGATGGGGCAAGAGCAGCAGGAAGATGAAAGTGATGGTGGGTGACGTTCTAGAGAAGTAGTTTGCACAAGCACCCTGGTGATACGCGGGAAAGCTTGAAAAAGAAAATAGACAATGAAGTTATGACTTGGTGCTGTAGTTGGGAGCCATGGCAGGTTCTTGAGGCATGGAGGTCCCTGCTAACACTTGGGGGCCTCAGATGGGCACCCTCCATGCCGACCTTGGGCTCTTCTCTCCCATCCCGTCCCCCAGGAGGCTGCCAGCTGGGGATCTCAGCCAAGGGGGAGCGCTTGAAACACTGGTATGAGTGTCTGAAAAACAAGGACAAGAAGATTGAGCGCTGGCACCAGCTGCAGAATGAGAACCACGTGTCGAGCGATTAGACTCGCCCTGGTCCCCGCCTCCGCGTGCCCCTTGCCTGGCCCAGCCGCGCACTACTCCCTGGCCTCTCCCCTATGCCCACCTCCCAGTCCCGGCTGCCCTTCTGGAGCCTGACTTTGAGGACCCCCACCTTGGGCATAGCTGCCAAAGGCCCTCCCCTTCACCCCATCCTCCCCCTCTTCCTCCCCTCACCCTCTTCTTCCTCCTCCTGCTCCTCCTCCAGCTCCTGACGCAGCTGTCTCTGGTCCCCAGTACGGAGTAAGAGGGCTGGGGATGCAGAGGTGCTTATAAAGCACAGGTCCATTTAATAACCGCCCAGTGTGGCTGAATTAACAAAGCTCTTCACCATTTGGGGCTGTTTTTCTACCCTCCTGGCCTCAGACGCATACACACCTGCTGGGGCCCTGTATTCCCTCTTCATGTCCCCTTGGCTACCAGTAGACGCTCACACTGGGAACACAAACAATGGGGCAACAATGGGGACATCCAGGATCCTGCTACCCCTCCAGACACACCCCCAATTGCCAGGAGGACAGCCTGCTACCCCCCAAAACACACAAAGAAATGGACACATACATGGAGCACAGAGGAGACCTTGTTGTCCCCTCTTCGAGGAAGTCACTTATCCACTCAGAGAAAAAAATAACCCTCCCCCTTGTCTCTACCCACCGCCTTGTCTCCCTCCCTGTCCCCTCTCTCAGGAGGCAGAATAGCAAAAACAGCAGCTAGATCTCCAAGCCCCCTGCCCTCCTGCCCTGGGCCTCCTCGCCTCTTAAACTCTCCACCGCTGCTGTTGGCATGGCCAGATGGCCTTGGGCTCCAGCAGGCTGTGGGCACAGCCCTGTGCATGGCAGCACGCACAAGCTGGTGGACGCCTTTTAGATAAACTCTGCCATCCCTGCTTCCCTGGTGGGCACTGGGAAGAAGATAGAGCCACAGCCCATGGGGGCTCTGCCAAGGCCCCACCCATTCCCTTCCTCTGTGCTCTGCCAAAGGGACAATGACCCTCTCCTGTCCCATGCTGGGACACAGTTTCCTTCCTTGGGTACCCTGTCTCTCTCGCAGAAAGTCTCCCCGGCCTCTCTGTCTATCTCTGTTGCTTGTACAGTTTTCCAAATCCCCTGAGGGAATCAAATGACATCACGGGTATAAAACTTTAAAAAAGGTCCAGCCCTGATACCAAAGGCTTTGGGTCCTTCATGAATCAGGATATGCATGTAATTCTGAGGTTGGGATCAGGCTGCCTTCAGTGCCCCTTGGAGAGGTTTGTCGATCCCAGCTTGGCATAGGTCTTTCCTCATGAAAATCATCACAAATCATCCCAAGACCCTGCTGTGCACTCTAGAAAACATCAGATCCATACAAAAACTTCCATCCCGAACTCACCCTTCTGATCTCCCTGCACCCTCAGCTCCCCACATAACTTATTGGAGGACTCAGTTCTTGCCTTTCAGTAATCATTTTCTAAACATCAAGCCCTTCGCCTTCCCCAAGGGGGCCGATGGCTTCCTGGCGGACACCTTTCCTTTCGACCTTCACTTTTCCCTTTAGTTCCCTATGGCACCCTCTCAGCCACCTCTCCGCCACGGTCCACCCTTAGGAGAATGCATGCCAGCTGTGTCACCCGAGCCTGACGCTGGCATTGGCGCTGCAATGAGCATGCCCAAGCGTGCTGTGCCCGTGCCCACAGACTGGCACGCGCTGTCCTGGACACACACAAGCGCCTCTTGCCTAGGATGTACACACCCCGTGGTGCATGCCAACCACCCTCCTTTCTTTGTGATGATGTAGCCAACAATAAAGTAGGACTATCCAGGCAAACTGTGGTCTGCAGTTTTTCTTGCCGGTTTCTAAACAGCGTACTTTAGAATGGTACGTAGTTTTTGTGGGTGTCCGCTGAGCAAGGACCTAACATTCTCCCCATCCCCCCTAGAGTCCCAGTGGTTGTAGAATCAGGTATTGCTGAAGTTAAAAGAAATCACAGAACTCAACCAGGGCCTGATTCAAGGTACTCAGTGAACAAGGAGTTTGCTTCTTCATCTGCTTCAGAGGGCTAGATATGAAGTATCCAAGAAAAAGACATCAATTTGCCAACAAGAGGTCAGATAGTAACTGGGGGAGGGGGGCACCTATTAGCCACAGAGGAAAAGTAGGCTACCTGTGCCCTCCCAACCCCACCAGCCAATGCTAGATAAGAATGCTTCATGGGGGACTGAGATTGTCACATCTGGTTCCCAAAATTTTTACTCATGCCTAAGCCCGTATATGAAGCCATAAAATTGGGCCAAGAGAGCCCTTCCTCCAGGAAGCTAACCAGAAAAGAACATTTAAACAGATCAAAGAAGCCTCTGCTCAAGCCCCAGGCTTGGGACTGCCAGGGAGAACCAAACCTTTCTTCCCATATGGGATCTTGACTTCAGCTGGTGGCATACTTGTCCAGGCCGTTAGACTCCGCGGCCCTAGGAGGGCCTCTATCTTCAGGACACGCGCTGCCACCATCTTGCTGATGCAGGAGGCGGACAAGTTGACTTTGGGACAACAGCTGACCATTCAGGTACCACACTCAGTTATAACCTGACAGAACTGGAGAGGGCACTGTTGGTTACCAAGTCCAAGGGTGACCCATTATCAAGGATTCCTGTGAGAAAATCCCTGCATAGCCTTAGAGGCTGTGGACACTGTTAACCCAGCCTCTTTTCTCCCAGGCAAGCCAGGAGCCCCTCATAATTATGTGGAAGCCATGGATGAAATGTTATTGAGCCAGGGAGATCTCATACACTGTCCCCTTGGAGGATCAGATATGCAGTATTCCCCAGACAGATGTAGCCCTGTGCTCGAAGGGGTCCAATGACATGGATAGGCAATGGTGATATTGGACTCCATGGTAGAGGACCATCTCTGCCCACCAGAACCTCAGCCTAGAAGGCAGAGTTAATGGCCTTACCTAGGTCTTTTTTATAACTAATGACAAAAAGCTTACATCTATACTGATTTAAAATAGGCCTTTGCAGCATTCCATGTACGCAGGGCCATATATAAGGGAAGAGGACTCTTGCCCACTGGAAGAAAAAAAAATACAAAGAGGAAATTTTACAACTCATGCAGTATGGTCCTGGGACAAGTGGCTGTTATACACTACAAGGAAGGGGCACCAACAGAATGGAACATTAGGATCCAGAAGGAAGGGGGAGGGGGGAAGGGGGAGGGGAGGGGAGGAAAGGGAGACAGAGGAAGAGAGGAGAGGAGAGGGGAGGGAAGGAGGAGGAAAAGAAGAAGAGGGGGGGGAGAGAGAGAGAGAGAGAGAGAGAGAGAGAGAGAGAGAAGCTATGACAGCCTCCCAACCAGATAGAGGGACCTGAGCCATGCCCCTCATCCCAGAGCCACCCCTCCCCGAGACCCCATGCTACTCTCCAGATGAGAAAGCCTGGGATACCTGAGAAGCTAGAAAGTACAAAAATGGGGAAGGATGGAAGAAGGGAGACTAGCCATCCCCAAAGTGCTGGGTACGGTTTCTGTTTTATTTTTCAGGCAGTGTAGTTCAGGCTGGCCTTGAACTCACTATGTAGCCCAAGCTGACCTCCAATTTCCAGAAATCCTCCTGCCTTAGCCTCCTAAGTGCTGGGATTACAGATACCACCATGTCTATATTGGGCCCCAGGTTCTTAAAACAATTCCATCAGGGTATGACATGGGAAAGATAGCATTGGAAAATTACTATGTGCCACAGCGTACCACCTCTGTCCAGGCATTTGTGAGCCATGCCGACTCTCTGCCCAAAGCAATGCAAGGCGAGGACTCTCCCAGCCCCCAGGTGTTCGGCAAGCAGCAGCGCCCCATGTGAAAACTTGCTTAGGGATTTTATTGCATTATCTTGAGCTGGTGACTATCAACACATCTTAGCGCTTGTCTGTACTTTCTCGGAATGGGTTTGAGGCTTTCCCCACATGAACAGCAAGCGCAAGGACCTGTTAGCACCAGCACTAGCGAGACGAAGACAGGATGATCACTATGAGTCTGAGCGGCATAGCAAGACCCTGTACCAATAAATAATAATTAAGAAATAATAATTAAATAATAATTAAGAACTACATTCATAGCCAAGATAATCCAAGGATTATCATGTGGATGTTAATATAGAATCTACACCCAGCCTATTAGCCACAGAGCTCAGGAGGTACGAAACACACAAATCAGACACTCAGACAATTGTTGAAAAATATTACCAAGAGACCCACCTGGGATAAGACTGAGTCCCACTCATGGGCCTCCTCAGAGTGCAGTGCACCCCCATCAAACAAAAGGGGTGTTCCCCTTATGAAAACTTGTTCAGCTGGTCACCTCCAATCATATATAAAATTAAGGGTGATGTCTGTAAATTAGGAAAATTGACTATAAGGGACAAATACAGGATTTTAAAATAGCCATATAAGACATCCTGAACTGTGTACAGGAAAGAATGCCTCTATGCCTGACAGGAGCTATACCTATTCAAACTAGGCAATTTTGTTTGTGTTAAAAAATAATGCCCTACAACTCTAGGACCCATGTGCAATGGGCCTCATACTATAACCTTGTCCACCCCCACTGCTGTTAAAGTCAGAGGAACAGTGCCCTAGAGCCACCATAGTCAACAGAAGCGAATGGCCCAAGACAGATGGACCAACCAACAGGACCCAGACCACCCGAACCAGCAGGTCCTGCAATGAGACTGGGCCACCACCAGATGCCACAGCCCTGCTCTGGTCAGCCCGGAAGCTGATCAGTCTATACATGGCTATAGCTTGAGAATCAGCGTGGGATACCACGACAACATGTGTCAGTCTCAAGTCAGACCTGACGCTCCCAGCGCCCAGCTTACTGGCTAGTAGAGGAGATACTGCTTTCTGCAGGGAACTCAGCTCAGCACCGAGGCTGCATGATGTGGGAGAGAGATAAGATAGGACAAGGAAATTTGAGGGCCCTGGGACATCTGGAGATAGCTGAGGGTCTACACCAGAGACTT